CCCACATGAGAGACCCAGAAGAAGCTTCTAGCTCCTGGCTTCAAATCAGCCCAGTCCTGGCCACTGTAGCCATTTGGGGAGTGAACCAGTGGATGGAAGATCTCTCTCTCTCTCACTCCTTCTGCCTCTATCTTTCAAATAAATAAATATATCTTTAAAAAAAGAGTATATTGTAAAAAAAGAAAAGTGAATGTGGGCTCTGTCTCAATGTGTCTTAGTGTACTGGACTCGGTCTCCTTGTGATAATGTGAGATGATATGATGCCCATGAGACACAGGCATGGTGACCCAGTGAGGCTGCTACGTGAGGGTCGCTCAAGCACAATGCCATGTGAGGTGCTGATGCCAGGACAGTGACTAGCGGGCAGGCAGCGTATACAGCATGGACAGGTGGGACACAGGGAGGGTTCACATCCTGCATGGAACAAAATCTCATTGTGCCTCTCAGAGCAGCGTACATTTCAAAACTTAGGAATTGTTTATTTCTGGAATTCTCTATTTAATACTGGCAGACTTCAGTTGGCCACAGGAAAGTGAAATTGGGGAAAGCAAAACTGTAGATAAGGGAGAACCAGTGTGCTTAAAAGTGGCATTTCTGGATTAAAAGGGTTCACACATTTTTAAAAATTTTTATTTATTTATTTGAGAGGTAGAGTTACAGTCAGAGAGAGGGAGAGACAGAAAGGTCTTCTATCCACTGGTTCACTCCCCTAATGGCCACAATGGCAAGAGCTGGGCCAATCAGAAACCAGAAGCCAGGAGCTTCTTCCAGGTCTCCCATGTAGCTGTACTTGGGCCATCTGCTGCTGCTTTCCCAGGCCATAGGCAGAGCTTGATCGGAAGAGGTGCAGCCAGGACTTGAACCAGCGCCCATATGGGATGCTGCCGCCACAGGCAAAAGCTTAGCCTATTATGCTAGGGCACCACCCAGGTTCACACATTTCAAATTTGTGAGTAAGTTCAATATGTAAGTTCACAAATCAATTAATATGTAATTAATTGAATTCCAATAAAGCAAAACAAGTTTCATTCACAGGAGGTGTGGAGAGGCCCTTTTTCTTGTACTCTGAATAACAGGATCTTATCAGTCCACTTCGAGAAAGGATGGTGGCAGTTCCTCACGGAAAGCAAACTGGTGTGAAAGTGTTACTATCAGAGAGAATTCAAGGCAGGAAAGATTTAACAGGGCAGAGTGATATTTAATTTCGATAAGTCACCTTTGACCAAGAAAGTAAAACAGCATAACCTTTTATATATTATGATTATGTTATCTTTGCAAGTGGCGATGTTATATGGTTTACGGTAATGTGCAAGTGCATAGCTTCCAAACATTCAATGCAAAAGCTCAGATACAAGGAAAAATGGCTAAATCTGTACCAGTGATAGAGACTGTCGAAACACTTCTTTCAAAGCTGAGCAGCTCAGTGAGGATAAATAAGGATAAGGAGGATTTGAACTAACAAGCTTGGCCCACTAAATACACGTAGGTAAGCAGAGTACATATTTCCCGGCAAATTCTCAAGGACCATTTAGTGCCTATCAGCACACACACAACCTCAGAGTAACTGAAAAAATAAGTTGTTGGGCAGAATTGATCAACAACGGTTGAGGGCGATAGGCAGGAAAAGAAGTCCACGTGAAGAGCAGGATCGTTCAATCAAGTTTTGCATCCAGGCACCGGGAAGCCAGCCTCGGCCTTCCATGTGGCTCCCGCCACCAGGACCTCTGAATTCAGCAGACCCGCCCGCGGCCGGGCTAAGGAGCTCAGGCTGTGAACACAGCCTTCTAATCTCGCACAGTAAGATGACTTAGGTCTGGGGAGCCCTAGTGAAACTGGCCTCGGGAGCCGGGGGGCACCCGGCCTCCTCCTCGCTCCCTCCAGATCCTGCTGCGGGCTTAACTGCACGCCTGTGTGCGCAGCTCTGCGTGGGACGTGGGAACGCTCGGCCAGGGCCGCGGATGGCCTCGTCGCAGTTCAGGGGAGGACATGGCTGAGTAGGACTGTACCTCACCCTTTGGACCTGTAGATCTGAAAGAAGCCAGGTGAGCGCGGATCCCTGAGGGCCCACACCTGTGTGCTGAAGACCGTCTCTTAGTAAACAATACCAGGGAAGGTAAGACCTCTCTAGCCTGAAGTACAAAAATGGGTCAGCTTAGAGGGCAACAAACTCATGTGTCTGGACAGGAAATAAATAATAACAGGGTCGGTCTGGGGACCGTCAGCTCACCTGGAGAGGGGCTTTGTTTTGTGTGTTTCAGGGTCTTCCAGTCCTAGGAACCAATCTTCCTTCCGTTTCTTGGGCTCACTTAGTGGGCAAATGAACACCCACATTTGAAGCTAATTATAGCGGCAGTATGGATGAGGCCAAGTCAGGTCCGAGCCGTGTGATGTGTCGCGCCCTGGAGAAAGCTCGCAGTCACCGCGCAGAGAAGCAGTGAGTGGTTAGCCAGGGTGCAGAAGCAGCTGTGTGAGGCTGAATCGGGCTCGTTTTCTCATCTCTTAGCAGTTTGGTGTTTGCACTCTGATTTCTATACACTGACAGATTTCCTTAGAGATGAGAGCACATTAAGCTTTCTTGCCAGTTTACTTTTCTTCATGGAACAATATATCTTGGGAATATTTTCCTCGGAATATATATGGACTTGATTTTTTTTGTGTAATGGCTGAATATTTTTTGTATTTTTTTAAAATGCACCATGATGTTACCTGGTCAGTTCTGTAGTCTTAACTGTTTAAGGTGCTTTTTGTCTTGTTTTTGTGGGAAGAAAGATTTTAGGGATTTTTGAAAGTGTTAAGAAGGCATCTCGTTTGCACTCTGAATAACATTGTCATTCCACGACAATGACAATGACTTAAGTATTTATAAAACTCGCCTCAAATATAACCTCACTTCACCTTCATGGCAACATGAAGTGGGGTTACTGTCACCCATGCGTAACAGAGCCACGAATGAGGCCGAGGGTCCAGAGGCCGGGTCGCAAGCCCTTTTGCTGCTCCAGCGACAGCTGGTTCTTGGTGACTCGGAGTTGGTTACAGCTGGAGGGGCTGCCTGGTGGGAGAGTGCATTCCTAGTGGTTGTTGCAAACAGCCTGTTGGCTTGTGTCAGTTATCACCTCCTCATTCTAGAACAGTCTCGGATTTCTACTTCTCATGACTTTTTATAGGGGAGATGACCAAGAAGGTCGTCTTATTCTGCCACCTCTGTTGGAGTCATAAATTGTTAAAAAAAAAAAAAAGTGCCAGAAGTCAAAAGAGAATTTATTCAGTAAAAGCCCTTCCTCCTGCAGTAGTCAGTGTCCGTCCTGTGTGTTCATGTTGCGTTGAAATAGCATGCTTTCACTGCTCCCTAAGTTTGAGTTAGGGACATGTCTTTGTTGTTGATATTTAAAAATAAATATGTCAAATTCAGTCTGTCAGCAGATATTTTTGATTTTCCTGTATGCCAGGCACTCTAAGTATATTATTTACTCTCAACAAAGATAGATGGCTGGGAAAGTCCTTGAGAGTTTAATGGCCAAGATCTAGTGAGACCCTGAGCAGGGACACTCCCCGTATCTATGCCCTTGGGAAACTCAAACGCTCTTCAGTACACAGCACAGCCCTGCAGCAAGTTAGCACTGTGCCAAAGCAAGCTGTCCGTCGTTAACTGGGAATGCTTTGGCACACACAAAAGAGAAGTCACAGTCTTTTTTCCTTTGGATATTTATTCAAAATAAGCTCACCAACCTAAGCAAGGCAAAGCTTTAATTTTGATTTGCAAAGGAGAAGGTAACAATTTTTGACATTACCCAAAACTGTAACCTTCAAAACTTGAGAAAGGAGTGGGGGGGCAAAAGTGAGGAAGGGAATAAAGACGTGGATTCCGTGTTCAGTGCTCAGCGAGAGCATCTCACATTGTTCCAAGGAAGAGGAAGGAAAGAGTCGCTATTATGTAAAAATAGATATGCCATAATGTTTAGTTCATGTTAACTGAATCCCTACTATGTGCCAGGCACTGCACTAAATCCTGGGGATAAATGCATCGGCTTGCACAAGTCTGCTCTGAAGGAACTCACAGTCTAATGTTTGAGAGACAAGGGAGAAAGCTGGCACGGCGTGCTGCAGGGATGGAGATGTGCACAGAGCAGGGGCGTGTCACGCCGGCTTCTTAGGAAAGCCAGCATCTAAAGAGACCCTAAGGAATGAGTCAAGTTAGGCAGCTTAGGAGACGGGAAACCGGAAGAACATTCCAGGTAAGAGCAAAAGCACGAAGGTCATGGTAGTTCAGGAGCAGAGTTTGAAGAAAGGAGAGAAAAGGGTGAGGCTTTGGAGCAGGTGGGTTCTGTTTGGAATACAAGGCAGCTGCAGCACTCCTGGGCCAGTGGAAGGAAGCTGGCTATATGGGACTGCGGCGTAGGGATGGTCTGGGATGGAGGTCTACATGGGAGAGGTCAGAAGCACTGGCTGAAAAGGTGAGACTTGGTGAGCCATCCAGGGAACACACACAGGGCAGGAAGAACAGACGTTTGAGACTTCATGCACCTTGAAGGGCTAGGCAGAGGAGAATGAGCTCAAGGAGAGAATAAGTAGGGAGGTAGGAGCCAGCTCAGAGAGGTGGCCTCATGGAAGCCCCAAGGTGTAGCAAGTCAAGGCAGAAAGTCACTGTGTGACCTACGGGGACAGATGGCCTGGCTGTTCTGGCATGGGAAGGATTGAAAAGCTGAAGGCATTGGAGACATCAGCTTGAAAGGTTTTGATCAATAGTGACAATGAAAGGTTGGTTACAAGGGGGAGTAAGGAGAAAATATGTAGCGTGTTCTCAGAAGAAATCTGGATGATAAGTGAAAGGGGTTAGATAATAGCCAGTGGGATGTGGGAAGGCAGAGGTGATGCTGATGAATTGCTTTGAGAATGCAGCAGAGAATTCGTATTTCTAAACTGCAGAGGAAAAACCATTCGGGAGACTGCAAACAGGAGAGGAGTGGGATGATTAATGGGGGGAATTTTCAGGGCGGGAATCCTGTGTGCGTTGAAGCGGGAGGGATGGAGAGGATGATTCATAGCCAGCTGGTCTCCCTGAGCTGATACTCTGCCCAAGTCCCTCTCTCACAGATTCTGTCTTCTCTTTGTCAGCACACAGCTCACTGTCCCTTGGATGTGCTCTCTGCACCCTGCAGGAACACTGCATTTAAACCATGGGAAGTGGCACCTCCACCCAACATCATTTTGCTTTTCAGAATGCAGAGAAAGGTATGTGTTTCCCACCTTCAAACCACCTGTGGGAACCCTAAGCCCTGTCACATAGGGAGGGGGTTCTCAGAACACAAGCAGAAAACCATTTCTCTTCAGTCCAACTCTTCAACAGTAACTTCTCTTCCTTGTATTGTGCCCCCCAAAATGCTCAGCTGAACTCTGGAGTTAGTGTTGCCCATTGGGGCTTATCTCAAAGTACCCAAGTATAAGTGGATGAAATAAGATTGGGCAAAGAGGGAATGGGAAGTGTTTCAGGCAGGGGGTATGTAGCATGTGCAGAGATTGTAAGGAAGTGAGTATTCAAGGAAGTGAGTATTGAAGTGATATTCAAGGACGTGAACCCTCTGAGGTGAATGAGGGGGAAGATAGAATGTGATGAAGTTGTTGAGGTAGAAAGTGTAGGATTTTAACTTTATCCTAAAGGCATGAGGAACCGTTGAAGGCTTTGAATAAAGAGTTCTACAATTATATCTAAAGCATGCTTCTGGCTTCTGTGAAAAAGGGATCTGAGGGGTTAGAGTAGAAGAAGGAACAACAGTGAGAAGCTGCTAAAGTCGTCTGAACAGGAAACGATGATGCCTCTCTCCAGAGTGGGTGCTGTAGAGATGGAGAGAAGAGGGCGAGTCCCAGTGGTATTCAGGAGGTGGGATCCACAGGATCTGACTGATCAGATGTATGGGCTAAGGGGGAAACATGAATTGAGAATGACTTCCGGGCTTCTGGTTAGCAGAACTGAGTGGATGTTGATGCCAGTGATCCTAAAGATAATGGAGACAAACTGGGTTTGACTAGAGGAAAGCTGAGTTTATATACTTTGGGTTTGGGGTGCCCATGAGACATGAAAGTAGAAGCATGGAGTAGGCAGTTGCATGTTCAGATCTGGATTGTGAAGGGCTGTTTGGGCTGAAGATTACCCTGCTTTGGAAGCCATCAGAGTACAGATGGTTGTTGAAGCCCTGAGGGACAGTAGAAAGAGAACAAAGATGAGGGCCTGGGACAGAGTCATGGGGACTGTAGTACTTAGTGTCAGGATGAGCCAGCAGAGGAGGCAGCTGGAGATGGAGGAGGGAAACAAGGAGCATGGGATATCTTGGAAGCCAGAAGAAGAGTATGGTCAACCTCAACACAGAGGAGATGCTAAATGATGACAGCTAAATGTGCCCTTTAGATTTTGTGATAGAAATGTGACTGGTATAGTAATAGACCTAACTCTAAGCTGGAAGTAAAAGCCAAATTACAGCGGGTAAAAGCATGTGTAATTTCCCTAGATAGCCTTCAGTCTTCCTGCAATTGCATTCCCACCACCAGTGCTGCAGGCATCCTCTGGGGCTGCCGCTAGTTGAGCGCTACAGACTGGGAGCTGCAGCAATCGGAATGTGTTGCTCCTGGGTCTGGAGGCTGAAGGCCAAGGTCTAGGGGCAAGGAGATTTTGATGGCTTCTGACGCCTCGCTGCCTGGCTTGCCCGTGAATGCCCATGGCTGTGCGTCAACATGGCCCTGGCCCTGTAAGCTCTCATCCCTGGCATCTCCTTGGATCCAAGCATCCTCCTCTTCTTTTTTAGGATTTTTTTTAATTTCAGAGGCAGAATTACAGAAGGAGAAAGGGAGAGCTAGAGATTTTCCATCTGCTGGTTCACTCCCCAAATGGCCTCAATGACCAGGGCTGGGCTAGGCTGAAGCCAGGAGCCAGGAGCTTCTTCCGGGACTCTCACATGGGTACAGGCATCCGAGCACTTGGGCCATCTTCCACTGCTTTCCCAGGTGCATTAGCAGGGAGCTGGATTGGAAGTGGAGCATCCAGGATTTGAACCAGTGCCCGTATGGGATGCTGGCACTGCATCGGCTTAACCCACTGTGCCACAGCACTGGCCCCAGAGCATGTACTTTCATGAGAGAAGGGCATTTCTTCCTAGAGGAATTTTTCTTTTGCAGATGAGTTTTGTGTGGAAACAGAAGTATTGACATAGGTAATGGAAATAAGGGAAAAAATCACACAAAATCTCTGTTATAAGTTTTCTTAAATAATTTATCCGTTCTGTGTTCTACTGAGTATTGTCTTGGTCCACAATATTCTCTCAGTGTTCTTTTTCAAAAAATATTTATTTATTTATTTGAAAGTTGGAGTCACACAGAGAGAGGAGAGGCAGAGAGAGAGAGAGAGGTCTTCAATCCAATGATTCACTCCCCAAGGAGCTGCGCCGGAGCTGCGCCAATCTGAAGCCAGGAGCCAGGAGCTTCCTCCAGGTCTCCCACGTGAGTGCAGGGGCCCAAGGACTTGGGCCATCCTCCACTGCTTTCCCAGGCCATAGCAGAGAGCTGGATCCGAAGTGGAGCAGCCGGGACTTGAACTGGCGCCCTTATGGGATGCCGGTGCTTCAGGCCAGGGCATTAACCTTATGTGCCACAGCGCCAGACCCCTCTCAGTGTTCTTATGTACACTTGTATGGAATTCTAAGCAAAGGATCTTTGTAACTTGCATCCTAGGATTTAGTTAATTACACGTGGACCTGGGGCTGGCGCTGTGGCATAGCAGGTAAAGCCGCCGCCTGGAGTGGTGGCACCCCATATGGGCACCAGTTCGAGTCCTGGCTGCTCCACTTCTGATCCAGCTCTCTGCTATGGCCTGGAAAAGCAGTAGAGGATGGCCCAAGTCCTTGGGCTCCTGCACCTGCGTGGGAGACCTGGAAGAAGCTTCTGATTCCTGGCTTCTGATTGGTGCAGCTCCGGCCACTGTGGCCAATTGGAGAGTGAACCAGCAGATGGAAGACCTCTCTCTCTCTCTCTGCCACTTCTCCTCTCTCTGTGTAATTCTGACTTTCAAATAAATAAATAAATCTTTTTAAAAAAAATTACATGTGGACCAAGTAAGCATCATCTCGCATTGTGTAGGTGAAAAGGCAGGAGAGGATAAGGCATCTTAAATGACGCTGCACCTCACAGTGTCCATCTCCAGAAAGACAAGCCAGGCTCCAAGGAGGAAGCAAAAAGAGGGGCCTTGCTTGTACTCCCTGCCTTACGCAGCAGCAGCAAGCCTGGGGAAATAGTTGTGTCTTGTCATTGGCAGTGCTTGTCTTAAACTGCCAGGGGCCAGGTGTTAGCAAACGACAACTTTGAAGTTCATGATCTTGCCCGGTGGTTCTTAACCTTTAGCACAAGTAAGAATTTGGCACGGAGCTTGTTGAACTTGGAGGTTCCTTCCTGGCTCCACCTGTAGGCATCCTGCTGCTGCAGGTGTCAGGCAAGGTGCAGAAATCTGGGGTTTAGCAGGAGCTTATGCAGAATCTGGAGCACCCCCTGGGCATTTCGCTCGCTTCTGGAGCTGGTTTTACAGAATCTAGTTGGTGGAGCTTCAGCCTCGTCCCTTGTGTTATCTAGGGCGCGCCTTTGAGAAATACTTGTAGAATGATTTTTTTTTTTCCTGTAGGAAATGAAATTCAGCTCTTCTTAAGTTCCTCCTAGCTTCTCCCCTCTTCACCATCTTCTTTCCTCTTAGGAAAATCAGCAAGAATTCTATTAGCTCTCTAATGCAGGCTAAATATATTAAGTCAATCTGTCTGCTGTTCACAGGGTTGACCTAAATTAACCCACAGGGTTTCCTTTTTAATCCAGCTTTATCCACAAATAGTCCGTTCATCACCAGCAGCTTAGGAAGCATCTAGTTATTTATGTGGACAGCTGTCCCCTGCTCTGGCAATAATACTAGGCCACAGGTCCTAACCCTCCTATGAGGAACTAACCCTACAAACTCCAGCCTGTCCCACGTGGCCACCTAGCACAGGTCCTGGGAGAAAGGAGACACCCAAAGACTGTGGGTGGGACTGTACAATAAGAGCTGTCACAGACACCTGGGCTGCTGGGGATGCTGAAAACCAGGGTGGCAGGGAGAATCATGGGACCCGGGATAGCACAGGACCCGCCAAACCCTGGCCACCCCAACACTGCATGGCATATTCACTGGAATGCTTGTCTATTGTTTGCTTGTGCTAGCATTTGTCTCGTCCAGTCCCATTTCCAGAAAAAGCCACCAAGGCCCAAGTTGGCTTGGGTGAGGCCAGGTACCTCGTTGGGGCAGTTCCAGGGCTAGGCCCCAGGTCTCCTGATGTCTGGCTGTTGTCATAGTGTCAAAGTGCCCTCTCCGACCCCCTCATGTTCACACTTGCTATCTCTCTGGTTCACATCTCTCTCAGATCCTGGCATTCCCGCCTTCCCATCGCTATGCAATAGTCTCCACTTACCCAGAGTTATCCTTTGTGGGTTTCAGTTAAGCACAGACAACCACAGTCTGAAAATGTTAAATGGAAAGTTCCAGAAGTAAACAATTCACGAGTTTTAGACTGTGCTGTGTTCTAAGTAATGAGGACATCTGACAGCATCCCGCTCTGTCCCACCCAGGTCGTGAATGGACACTGGGTACAGCGTATCCACACTGTATACACCACCCGCACGTTAGTCTCTCAGCAGCCTCTGGGTTCTCAGATAGACAGTTGTGTGTTGCAGTGCATCACTTAGTAGTGGATCCAAGGCGCAAGATTCAGATGCTGGCAGTGGGATTTGGCCAGGGGAGGCTGTGAATTGCGTCCTTTCGGTGAACAGAGAAAGCGCTCAGCTTAGTAAGGAAAAAGCCAGTATATGTAGGGCTCTCTGCAGTCTTGGTTTCAGGCATCTACTGGGGATCTTGGAACACATCCACTCAGATGGGGGGACTACTATAAATGTAAATGCTGTCATCAATAAATGACGTTCAATAGCCCCTCTTATTGCCATCAAGAATGCAAGAACGAGAGGGCACCACAGCCCTCTATGGACTGTACTCCCTGCAGGGAGGCAGACACTGCCTTTGAGCATCAGTAGGGGGTGCCCTCCCACCCACCACGCGTGCTGCTTGTACAGTGTGAGAGGTGCAGGCACTGTCCTCCCCAGTCCCGGCTCACTGGCTTGCTTCTCTGCGACAGCCTTCAAGGCGGCCGCCCTGATTCAGAGATGGTACCGGCGCTATGTGGCGCGCCTGGAGATGAGGCGGCGCTGCACCTGGAGCATCTTCCAGTCCATAGAGTATGCCGGGCAGCAGGACCAAGTCAAGGTGCGGAGGGGTGTGGGATGGAGCTGTCGCGGTGCTGCCTGCCAGCCCTCGGGCAGCGGCGGCCAGGCGCCTGGAAGGTGCTGCCAGTCGGACGCCTCGTGGGTTCTTCTTCGTGCATCCGTAAAGCCAAATCTCTATCTTTGGGTTCTTCCGCAGCTCCATGATTTCTTCAGCTACCTGGTGGACCACTTCACCCCCAGCAGCCACAATGAGAGTGAGTAGGAACCGCCCCCGAGGTCGTAGAGATCAGGGTGTGTAGGCAGCCAGACTGTGAATCCGGGGCCAGCTGGGGAAATAGCCAGGGGGCTGACAACGAAATGCCACAGTGGATTTCCTTCCAGGTTTTTCCAAAGACACACCTGGAGACCAGAGTTGGCGTGCAACAGGCACATTAAGTGCAGGCGATTCTGGGGGTGGAGGGAGTGGAGAAGAACTTCAGGAAAGGGAATGCAGCCGAAGAGTGTTGGGCTACTGAGCCAGCAGCATGGGGCGCCCAGGAGATCACAACCCTGCAGGGGAAGGACCTGGGTTCTCTGTGTATCAGCTCCAGAGATGCAATGACTGGAAACTGCAAGGAGATTAATTCCCCACAGCATTTCTGGGCTGTACCCCTCGTGGCCCTCAGTGGACCCAGGAAAAGCGCCAGGTAGAGATCCCGAAGCTGGCATGGGGAGTTGCTGAAGGGCTGCAGGGCCAGATGCACCTGCTGCACTGGGTGCATCACCTGTGCCTGTGAACGGTTTCCCGCCTTGGCTTTGCCCTTTCCTCTTGCCTACAACCCTCGCCTGCTACACATCTGTACTTTCTGACACATCTCCATCTTTTAAACAAAGAGCAACACAGGTGTAACTACTGTCTTTAACCAATACAAAAACATGAGCTTTCCTCCTGCCTGTCCTAACCTGTCGTCATTTTGCCCTCTCTTGCCTGGAGCCAAGGCCAGCCTGGCCGGCTCCTACGTCCACTGCGTTGCCCATGGGCTGGTGTCTGACCACAAGCCCGCCCGCCTTTTCTCTCTGGACTAGGGGACTTCCTGAACCGCATGTTCACGGAGGAGCGATTCCCCCAGGACTCCGAGATGGACAAGTGCAGTGACTATGAGTGCATCGAGGTCCCGGACACTTACACAGGGCCACGCCTCTCCTTCCCTCTCCTTCCCGACCATGCAACTGCCCTGGTGGAAGCTTTCAGACTGAAACAAGTAAGCTCACCTGGGGGAAGCCAGGTCCCCACCCACGGCATGCAGTGTGCGAAGAACGGCCTGGGAGGAACAGGCCGGGTGCAGGGTGTGCTCATCACGCATGTCCTGGAGAGATTGCACTTTCTCTTTGCTCAGCAGGGACCTTGTGGTCTGTCAGCCAGTTTTTGTGACAGCTTCTGCCCCTGGCTACATCATGTCTTTTTGTTCGTGCATCCTGCAGCTAAGGTCAAGGTGGTGAGGGTTGCACCATGTGGCTACCTGGGGAGGAGTGCCCCAAGAAGAGGGGACAAGTACAAAGGCCCTGGGGCAGGAACTTGCCTGGGCTGTTCAGGGACCTCAGCAAGGCCTTTGGAGAGAAGGGAGCCGGGGGAGAGCAGTAGCTTGGACATCAAGTGCAGAAATGAGACAATCTGGCTTGCTTTGAAAAATAATCCTTCTGGTTGCTGCGGGAAGAACGGACTGGGGAGGGGGGGCGTGGCCCAAGCAAGGAGAGCAGGCCAGGATTCCTGAGGCAGTCCAGGCGAAAGGTGGGGGTGGCGCGCGAAAGCCGGTGGTAGAGGCGGGGCTTGTGAGAGGAGGTCAGGTGCCACTGTGTCCCCTCTTTCAGCGCAGGTAACTCAGGGCGGGAGGAGCTGGGGATGTCCCTTAGGAGTGACAGCCTCGCTCAGTGCCATCGGCACGCACACACTTGTGTACTCACGCTTCGCTCCATCTTGAGCTCCTCCCAAGCTAACGGCAAGAAAGGGTTTGCTAGGGCCAATGGGGAAGAGGGGTGGGTTCATGCTTTGCAGGAGGGACCCGTGGGGACCCTGGGAAGCAGACATAAGCGCAGGAAGTGGGTGCAAAGGAAAGGAGCAGCCTCTCGGGTCCCTTCTGGGGTCTTGGGTGGCCCAGGTCGTTAGGCAGCAGAGGCGAGGGCCGCCGTCCCTCACGAAGGTCACTGTTTTGTTGCCTCCCTCTCTTCCTCCCAGTAGCAGCTCCACGCTCGCTATGTCCTGAATCTTTTGTATGAAACCAGGAAACACTTGGCCCAGCTGCCAAATATCACCCGGGTCTCGACCTGTTACAGCGAGGAGATCACCGTGTGTGGTGAGGGCTGGTGGGCGTGGCTTCCGTGCCCAGGGCGGGCTGGGAGGGGACGTGCGGGCAAGGTGGGCGGATCGCGTGACACCCCTTCTACCTTTATAGCCTTCGTATCTTGGCTGCATGTCTCCTTAAAGGAGAGGTGGCTCAGCCTCTGCTCTGCTTTCCCGAACACTTCATATTTGACCCCAAACTCATGTTTCCCGATTGAAACCAAATCCCTACAAATAACCGGGTCCCGCTTGTTAGAAGGCAGTTCATGTGTGAGCACTTGAGTGAGCAAGCCCCAAAGCCTTCCAGCCAGTCCACTTCTCTCCCAGGGAGATGTGCTGTGTCTTCTGTGATCTTTAGCATCCATTACGGACTGGCAGGCAGACCTTAACCAAAGGAGGGAGCTTGTAGTTCACCAGCACACTAGGGATTGCTGCCGGCCCTGCTAGAAGGCTACATGTAGGTCTTTTATTTTTTTCTTTTAAGATTCTATTTATTTATCTGAGAGGTAGAGTTACAGACAGACAGAGGGAGAGACAGAGAGAAAGGTCTTCCATCCACTGGTTCACTTCCCATATGGCTGCAATGGCCAGAGCTGAGCCAATCCGAAGCCAGGAGCCAGGAGCCAGGAGCCAGGAGCTTCTTCCAGGTCTCACACATGGGTGCAGGGGCCCAAGGACTTGTGCCATCTTCTACTGCTTTCCCAGGCCACAGCAGAGAGCTGGATCAGAAGAGGAGCAGCCGGGACTAGAACCAGTGCCCACATGGGATGCCGGCACCACAAGCATAACATTAGCCTACTACGCCACAGCACTGGCTGCCTTTGTCAGATTTTTCTGGGTGTTTTCCATTTTACAGTAAAAATTAGAAACAATGGATGGGGCCAGCGCTGTGGTGCAGCGGGTTAAAGCCCTGGCCTGAGGCGCCGGCTTCCCATATGGGCGCCGGTTCTAGTCCCAGCTGCTCCTCTTCCGGTCCAGCTCTCTGCTGTGGCCTGGGATGGCGGTAGAGGATGGCCCAAGTCCTTGGGCCCCTGCACCCACGTGGGAGACCCGGAAGAAGCTCCTGGCTCCTGGCTTCAGATTGGCGCAGCTCCGGCTGATGCAGCCATTTGGGGAGTGAACCAGCGAATGGAAAACCTCTCTCTCTGTCTCTACCTCTCTGTAACTCTGTCTTTCAAATAAATAAATCTTTTAAAAAAAATAAAGAAACAATGGAGAAGACCAATCAGACTGATATTCTTTTTCTATCATTGCTAGGAGATTTGCACGGCCAGTTGGATGACTTAATATTTATATTTTATAAGGTATGAATGTTCAAATTAAGCTCTCTTCTTGCTTTGGGGCTTAATTTAGAAGTTCAAATATAATATCTGTTAAACAAATGCTTAAATATTGCTTGGATTTTTAGAATTTATTTTTAATAATATTATCTCTATATAGAAGATCCATAACTTAAAAGTCAGCATTGTATTATATTCTAGTATTTTTTGCAAACTGTTTCATAAATATTAAACATTAGCTTAATAAATTAGGAATCTAATAACAATCAACTCTTTTTCCAATAAAGAAAATTGGTTATTATCATGCAACCAAAATCTATTTTCATGTCCATTTTTAGTTATGAAATGTAGAATATATAACAAAGCATATGAAAACAATAATATTTGATCAAGGTACTGTTACTTTATACATAGGCTATATTTCCCCAGGTATTTTCCTTGTAGGAGGGTACTTCAAAAATGTTTACAGAAAATGGAATTAAAGGATAAGGTCATTTTGGTGCAAGAAAATTTGAACTCCGTGCATATTAGAGATCTTCACAAAGTGCATGAAAAGTGTGTGTGAAAAAAAAAAATTGTGTAGGGGACAGTATTGCGGTTCAGTGGGTTAAGCCTCTACCTGTGATATCAGCGTATCGTATTGGAGTCCTGGCTGCTTCACTTCTGATCCGGCTCCCTGCTAATACGCTTAGGAAAACAGTGGAAGATGGCCCAAGCACTTGGGCCTCTGCCTTCCCTGTGGGAGACTGGGAGGGAGTTCCTGGCTCCTGGCTTCAGCCCAGCCCAGCCCCAGCTGTTGTGGCCATTTGGGGAGTGAACCAATGGGTGGAAGATCTCCTCCTCTCTCTATTTCTCCCTCTCTCTCTCATTCTGCCTTTCAAAAATAAATACAAAAAAATTATTTATTTAAGATGTATTTTATTTAATTGAAAGAGTTACAGAGAGAGGTTGAGTAGAGAGAGAGGTCATCCATCCGCTAGTTCACTCCCCAGATGACTGCATCAGCCAGAGCTGAGCTGAGCTAAGGCCAGGAGCTTCCTCCAGGTCTCCCACGTGGGTGCAGGGGCCCAAGGACTTGGGCCATCTTCCACTGCTTTCCCAGGCCACAGCAGAGAGCTGGATCGGAAGCAGAGCAGCCAGGACGCAATCCGGTGCCCATATGGGATGCCGGCGATGCAGGCTGTGGCTTTAACCCGCTGTACCACAGTGGTGGCCCCAACAAAACTTAAAAAAAAAAAAAAAGTTGTACGTGGATTTCAAAGTGTTTTTGCACCAAAATAAGCTTATACTTTAATTCCATTTTCTGCGAACTCTTTGGAGAAGCTTCATATTATGCTACTTAATCCTAAGGAGCTAATGGCAGGTGTTACACTGCTAAAGCTGGTGGAGCCAGAGCTTCACATTGGCTTGCAGGTCTCACGTTCAGTGCCTTTTGCTCCACACCGCCAGGCAACACCCTGGCTTTGCAGAAAGCGCTTGTTCTGACAAGCACCTGGCAACCTTGCCTCGCTAGAAAGGAAACATTAAGACCAGCGGAAGGCACTTCCGTCTCCGACTGACATCTCGTGTTTGGAGGAGACCCAGAAAGCACAGAATTGGCATCAGACCTGATGTGAGGGTCAGAAGCCCGTGGCTTTAACACGATTCCCTGCACTCTTCTTCCCACTCTCCCTGGGCAGAACGGCCTCCCGTCGCCAGAGCGGGCGTATGTGTTCAACGGCGACTTTGTGGACCGAGGCAAGGACTCCGTGGAGATCCTGTTGATTCTTTTTGCCTTCATGCTGGTTTACCCAAAGGAGTTCCATCTGAACCGAGGAAACCATGAGGACCACATGGTGAACTTACGGTACAAGCCAAAACGTGCTTGGGTAGTTGATATTTGCTTGCTGCGATTGTTATGAAGAGTTACTTCATGGGAGTTTCTTTTTGTTAGATGGCTTTTAAGGTAGTTTTCCAGTTTCTGAAAATAGAATACACAAAATATAACACTGTTTCCATAATTTTTAGCTGAGAGAGAGAGGCAGGGAGAGAGTTCCCATCTACTTGGTCACTCCTCCAGCCCAGATCCAAGGCACCAGCTGGGAACCCAGTCCAGGTTTCCCCTGTGTCTGGTAGTGACCTGACTGCCTGCTGCCTCCCAGGGGACACGATGGCAGGAAGCTGGAACTGGAAGGGAGCTGGAGCTCAAACCCAGGCACTGCAGAATTGGATGTGGGCATCCCCATCAGGCTCTTAGGCTCTAGGTAAAACACCTGCCCCAACAGTATTTAACATTTTAAAATATTTTTGATGTACATGTTATTCTGCTATTCTAAAAAACCCATTAGATTTTAATTCACATTTCCATACTTTTTATCATGTAAGTAATAAGGGTTCACCATAGAAAGGTGAGAAATACAGACAAGCGAAAGGAAGAAAATTAAAATACTCTATGGTTTTTCTACCCAGAGATAATGTTATAATCATAAATGCATGATTATTTCCAAGTCTTTTTTCTACATACTTATATGTGTATGTCTAGAATTTTCATTTTTATGCAATGAATTTTCATTTTATGGTTATGTCACAACTATTGTCACATTTGCTTTAATATCTGCTTTTGCTCCTAAATCTAGATATGGCTTCACCAAGGAAGTGATGTATAAATATAAGGTGCGCTACCTTTCAAAGCAAAAGTTTCTCTTAGTTCAGATGAGTTGAGTGAGTTATTGGAAATGTAACGCTTTGTTAGTATCATCTTTTTCAGATCCACGGCAAGAAAATATTACGAACGCTCCAGGATGTTTTCCGTTGGCTTCCACTGGCCACTGTGATCGATGAGAAAGTGCTGATCCTACATGGAGGCGTGTCAGACAGGACCGACTTGGAACTTTTGGCTAAACTAGACAGACACAAGGTACCAACTGATGAAATAATACGATTTTCCCCGTAATACCCAGTTTCACTGCCAACATAAAATAAATGTCATCTTGCGTGCTGACTCCAACTGACTGATAAGAATTCGGAGAAGGTTGAGAGTCCACCGCTGAGTTTGGGGGAAGAGTATGCATAGCTTATTTTTATGTACTGGACCCGGGCTTCCACGCCATGGAGTCTGGCATCCATTCAGGATCCCAGAGTCAATCCCCTGGGAATACCGAGGAATGACTGTATTTCCTTTTTTTCTGAATAGGTATAGGGAATGGTTAAACTATGATCTGTAGAGATGGATAAAAATTCTGGTTCTGCTCCTTACGCTTGCATGACTTTGGACAAGTTAGCTTATGTAACCTCAGTTTCTAAATCCGTATACTAGGGATATGAATGACTATATCATAGGTATTGGGGGCTAAATGAAAATACATATGTATGTGCCTTACAAGGTTTGCACTCAATACATGGAAACTGTGTTAACTACATTTTGACTGAAGGGATAGAAAACTCCCAATGATAGTGGTTCAATATTTATGTCCCTCTCGTGTAAATAAGGCTGGAGGCCAGCAGTGCAGGGCAGCTGTACTGATACCACGACGTCATTAGGGACTCACAATCTTTCTCTCTTACCAATGCACCAAGCTGCATCATGGACTGAAGTGGCGGCTTGAGTTCCAGCTAGCATGCCCACATTCCAGTCTACAGAAATTAAAGTAGGAAAAAAGGCATGCCCTTTTCCTTTATAAACGTCGAGTTGTACCAAAAAATTCTCTACTTATCCATTGACCAGAAGTTGGTTATATGTCTACATTAAGCTGGAGGGGAGATTTGCAAGCCTGGTCCTCAGGCCAAGTTTTGACTTGCCCAAATAAGAATCAAAGGTTGTATTACTAACAAGGAAGGGTAGATACATAGTAGAGTAGCAACATTCTAACTGGGTTTGACTCTTTGGCTCCTCAAGTTTTTATACTCAATTTTTTAATATATAGATTTATTTATTTGAAAGGCAGAGTAATAGAGGGAGGTGGGAGAGACAGAGAGAATGAGATCTTGCATCCGCTGGTTCACTCCCTAAATGGCCACAACAGCTAGGACTGGGCCACTCTGAAACCAGGAGCCTGGAGCTCCATCCAGGTCTCGCATGTGGATGGTAAGGGCCCCTTAGCAGGGAGCTGGATTGGAGGTGGAGCAGCTGGGACCTGAACAAGCACAGTGATGGGGATGCTGGCATCTCAGGCAGCAGCTTCACCAGCTGTACTGCAGTGCTAACCCCTGTTGCACACCCTTCTTCCCAAACACGGAACCACAAAACCACACTCACCTCTCCTGCAGGGAGGCTACGTTCCAGCCTCATCCAGTCATTGCATCCACCTCAGAGGCCAAGTTTCTGCACTTAGGTCCTTTCTGTCACGTCTGGATAGGGCTCCTGTCATCTGGTGACTAACAGACAAGCTGTATGTCCCTGTCCGCTTGAGCTCAGAAGAGAAGGATGACTCCTTGGCCAAGGTCAAGGACGGGGAGACCGGCAGCACCTTCCACAGACCCTCCTTGCAAAATCCCTCACTCCGATGCAATCTCAGCCCTTCCATGTTCTTGAAGAGGGCAGGGGGCCCAAGGGCCATACGACCAGTTCCAGTCCTTGATATTTCCTTGGTCAATGCTGCCTGCTATCTGAACCTCATTTTTTTATTCACTTCCACATCTATTGTATCTTGGTTTTTCTCAAACATTCAAGTCAAACAGTTTGTTCAGCTGCATCTATATCTGGGGGCAGAAGCAGTAAGTCACAGAGGGGCTGATCATCTTGTGTTTAACAGGAATCCTGTTTCACTGTGGAAGCATAGAAGTCAGTACCTTGGGAAAGAGTATGTAGAATGTTGATTTTCTGTGCTTGGGCTGGGGGTGATGTAGCAACCAGTCAGTGTAGGGACTACCTGGGAGTGAAGTACGGCGATGCACAGGCTCCAGAATCAGACTATCTGGAAAAGTCTTGATCTCTTTGTGCCTCGGTTTTCTTCTCTGGTTTATACATTATCTCCTAGGGGTGGTACCAGGGTTAATCAGTTAATTTCTGTGAAGTGCCCAGAATAGAACCTATGTACACAGGACTTGATACACATCAACACCTTTAGTCTCCTTAAAAATCAAAGTGGCATAGTGGGTAAAGTTGCCACCTGTGGCACTGGCATCCCATATGGGCACCCATTCAAGTCCTGGCTGCTCCACCTCTGATCCAGCTCTCTGCTAATGTGTCTGGGAAAGCAATGGAAGATGGCCCTAGTACTTGGGCCCCTGCACCACATGGGAGACCCAAAAGAAGCTCCTGGCTCCTGGATTCAGATTGGCCCAGCTTTAGCCAATGTGGCCATTTGGGGAATGAACCAGCGAATGGAAGATCTCTCTCTGTAGTGCTGATTTTCAAATAAATAAATAAGTCTTTAAAAAAAATAAAAAGAATCAAAGCAAGAATGCCTCTTGGAGCAGATAATAATGTCTTTAAAATAAAATTCCCTGAGCCCAAAGGGGTGGGACCGTGGACTGGCCCTCACTGTGAGCTGGTACTGAGGAGAGAGGAGGTGCCTGTGGGTCAGTGCGCATTCTGTGGCCTTTCGCTGTCTCTGCCCAAGACCTGGACTGCCTAGGAGCTGATGCGTGCTCGTCCAAGGTCACAGAATAACCTCTGGTCTTTCCTATCCGACCCCAACACTCCTCTTCAAACACTGTGCAGTCTGCAAACCCTCTCCAGGGGTCCTTTGTTCCTGACCTAAGCCAGTCCACACTGAGTCGTGGCTCTCTTGTATCACAGCCCTCAGATCTGTTTGCAGAAAGTTCTGGTTGTTTGAGTGAGCGCTTGCGCAGAGCCCCGGTTATCACGAGACCTTTGGTACTGGTGTTCTTGGGCAGGTCGTCTCTCTCGGTTCCCTCGGCGTCACTCAGGTGCCTCCGCCTGCTTGCTCTGTCCTTGTACACTCTGTTCTGTGGCCTGACCCCGCTGTCCCGTGACAGGAATGCGTCCTGCCTGTGTCCTCCACGTTCCCTGAGGCTCCCAGTCAGACAGAGGGACTTTTTTTTTTTTTTTTTTAAGACTTATTTATTTGAAAGGCAGAATTACAGAGAGGCAGAGACAGAGAGAGAGAGGTCTTCCAACCTCAAATGGTTCATGCCTCAAATGGCTGCAACGGCTGGAGCTGGGCCAATCTGAAGCCAGGAGCCAGGAACTTCTTCCGGATCTCCCACGCGGGTGCAAGGGCCCAAGCACTTGGGCCATTTTCCACTGCTGTCCCAGGCCATAGCAGAGAGCTGGATTGGAAGTGAAGCAGCGGTTGCAAACCGGTGCCCATACAGGATGCCGGCATGGCAGGCGGTGGCTTTACCCGCCATGCCACAATGCAAACTCCCCCCTCCTTTTTTTTAATAAAATCCTCTTCCTGATCGGGTCCAGGCTGACAGGTGCCGGCTCCTTCAACGCAAGAGATCACCTGTAGAGCAGCACCCCCTGTTTACAGACGCCACTAAGAGCTGCCTCTCCCACAGCCTGGGGCAGGTTTCCCATGCTCCCCAGCTGCGTGCCTCTCTGCTTTGTTGTAGCCTCTGTAAGGCCTCAGGCAAGTCGGCAAGGGCTTGCCCTGCAGAGAGCAGCTATGGCAGCCTTGTCTAAAAAGGAGTAAGCGCCTAGAGAGAAACAAAGACCCTCCACGGTGGTTTCCCAATCTGTGGTGAAGGAGCAGGTCGCATCCATGTCCAGTTTGCCATGGAGCAATATTTTGGAGAAGTCGCAACAAATTTGAATTATTAGAAAAATGAAGCTCACACAAAGGAACGTGAGCCCAGGGGGGCCTGTGATTGAAGGTCACGGCCCCACCCAACCACTGAGGCTTTCTCCCAGAGGCAAGCAGGACACAGGCCAGTGCCTGCCTGGGGGCCTCAGGGTTCAGGGCCGACCCAGATGCCCAGGTGGTACTGCAGAAAGGACCTGCAGTTCCACGTCACCATCTGTCTCTCTTTCTGGACACGTTTAGATCGTCTCCACCATGAGGTACACAGCGAGGAAGGAGAGTGAGAAGCAGGCGGAGGCGAAGAAAAAAGACGACCAGGCGAGCTGCGCGCAGAGACCCATCCCGTGGTTCCTCCCCCAGAGCCGCTCTCTGCCCTCTTCCCCCTTCCGCCTGGGCTCGGTCCCCAAGTCCCCCAAGGCCAGCCGGTCCTGCAGCATCCCCTGCAGCAGCCCCCTCGGCCGGCAGGAGCTGTCGCGGCAGGTGCGGCGCTCCGTGGACCTGGAGCTGGAGCGCTGCTGGCGGCAGGCGGGCTTCCCTGCCGTCGGGGAGGCAGAGGAGCCGCTCTCCCCCGTGTACAAGGACCTGGAGGCTGGAGAGCTGCCCGCGGCCACTCGGGAGGAGTGGAAGCAGGTGGGTGTGGCCACGGCTGCTTCCTAGGCTCGCTGCTGTCGGTGAGGCAGAGCGTGTTTGTTTCCTTTTTTTGCTTTTTAATCAAGATTTGTTTATTTACTTGAAAGGCAGAGTTACAGAGAGGGAGAGGCAGAGGCAAAGAGAGATCTTCCAGATGGAAGATCTTCAGCTGGGCCAGGCTGAAGCCAGGAAGCAGGAGCTTCTTCTGGGTCTCTCACATAGGTTCAGGGGCCCAAGCACTTGAACCATCTTTTGCTTCTCTCCCAGGCGCATTAACAGGGAGCTGGATCAGAAGTGGAGCAGCCAGTACGCAAATCATAGCCCATGGGATGCCGGCGTCACAGGTGGTGTCTGGCTGCACCACACCCCCAAAGTGTTTGGGTTTCAACATTTATTTTTTTTTTTATTTGAAAGGCAGAATGATGGAGATGGAGAAATTAGATAGATAAAAAGGTAGATAGATGTAAATAGATGATAGTCTTCCATCGACAGGTTCTCTCCCCAAGTGACCAGAGCTGGTGCACACTGAAGCCAGGAGCTTGGAACTCCATCCAGTTCTCACAAGTGGGTGGCAGGGACCCACATACTTGGACCATCCTCCACTGCCCTCCCAGGCACATCAGTAGGAAGCTGGATCAGAAGTGGAGTAGCTGGGACTTGAACCAGTGCTCCAATATGGGATGCTGGCATTTAAGTGGCAGCTTAACCCATTGTGGGACAACACCCGCCCCCTCCTGCCTCCTACTTCCTCTCTCCCTGTCTCTAGGCTTCACTGCTAGGCCAAATGCCTGCCCCTAGGGTATTTTTTAGGGTTTCTTTCTCTCTTTCTTAGAAAACCCCAGAAGGACAATAGCACTTGCCAAACAGCTCATGTAGTTGAATGCTTTATAAAGGATAGGCAATGCCTGAGAATACTGGTCTCATGAGTCGGCAGCAGCGGGTGAGCAAGGTAAGCTGCGGTTTGTTGGGTGCTAGTCCCTGCTGTTTGTGCCAGCAGGATGCTGCTGGAGCTAGGTCAGGAGGGCTAGTGAGCAGTTCTGTCCTCCGTCTTCAGGCCTGTAGCAGTGTCACGGCCACCCTGCACCATCGGGGAGACCCAGGAAGCAGGTATTTCGCTTGGCACTTGGCCACCCCAACACAGCTGCAGTCCTGCCCTAATGGAAGGGGAAGGAGAGGGACACCGAGGAGACAGTAACAGTGCAGGCCAAGCCTGGTAGCGCCAAGGTAGCACAGTGGCAGGGCGAGCCCTCGGGACACTCTGGTGGTGGTCTGGGGTGAGACGATGCTGGTGATCTCGTGCCATGGTGCTAACAGAACCACGTGAACTTGACCTGCAAAAATGGCCATGTCATATGGTTCACCCACTGAGGAAAGATTCAGAATATTCTAAGAGCGGAAAGTAACAGGAACTTTGGGCTGTGTGGATGGTGATAAGAAAGGGGAGGAGTCACAGATGGTGAGTTTTTGGTTATATTCCCCCAGCGTTCTTGATCTGGTCTTCATCACCAACTTAGACGATATTTTAACTGCAAGTCACTCCTTTTGTTAAACATGGCTCAAAGAGCTGGCGCTGTGGCGTGGTGGGTAAAGCCTCTGCCCGCAATGCTGGTGTTATGGGTACTGGTTTGGGTCCCGGCTGCTCCACTTCTGATCCAGCTTCCTGCTACTGGCCTGGGAAAGCAGTGGAAGATGGCCCAAGTGCTTGGACCCCTGCACTTGTGTGGAAGACCTGGAAGAAGCTCCTGGCTCCTGGCTTCGGGTCCACGTAGCTCCGGCCGTTACGGCCATTTGGGGAGTGAACCAGTGGATGGGAGACCTCTCTTTCTCTCTGCCTCTGCCTCTCTCTAACTCTGCCTTTGAAATAATAAATAAATAAATCTTAAAATGTAAAGCAAAAACATGACTGAATTAATAGTATGCTAATATGTGTATATCAATTGTAGTTTTTTCCTTAAAAAGTAGACTTAGAAAATGATTAGATGTCAGCCTCTAGAATATACTGTTAATTCATCTAATGGTAAACAGCATTTTCCTGAATAGTAACAATAGGATAGAATCTGAATTGCTGGAAAAATGGCTCAGCCCTTCTACAAATTCTTTTTAAAATTCTTGAATTACTGAGGTTGGTGCTGTGGTGTCGCAGGTAAAGCTTCTGCCTGTGATGCCAGCCTTCCATATGGGCATCTGTGCTCCCGCTGCTCCACTTCGGATCCAGCTGTCTGCTAATGTGCCTGCAAAAAGCCGCGGAAGATGATCCAAGTGTTTGGGCCTCTGCCACCCACGTGGGGAACCCAGCTAAAGCTTTTAGCTCCTGGCTTCAGCATGGCCCAGCCTTGGCCATTGCAGCCATTTGGAGAGTGAATCAGTGGTTGAAAGATCTCTCTGTAATTTTGCCTTTCAAATAAATCAACAAATAAATCTTTTTTAAAAAAAGTCTTAAATTACTTTAGGAAATAAAAGCAGTTGTAGGGGGGCATGCGGCACAGCAGGTTAAGCTGCCACTTGGGATATCCACAGCCCACACTGAAGTGCCTGGTTAGAGTTCCAGCTACTCTGGGCTTCTCCCTGCTGATGTGCCTGGGAGAGAGCAGATGATGGCTGAAGTACTTGGGTTCCTGCCACCACGTGGGAGATCCGGGCGGAGTTTTTGGTTCTTGGCTTTGCAGGCATTTAGGAAGTGAACTGGCAGAAGAAAGATCAGTCTCTTTCTCTTGGTCTCTCCTCTCTCTCTGCCACTCTGCCTTGTAAGTAAATAAATAAATACATCTTTTTAAATAATCACAGGGAAGTGCCATTTAAAAAAATAAGCACAGCGTCAGTGGCACCAGAGCCACATCCAGGGCGCTGGCTCGTTGATCCAGTGATCAGTCTTCAGCCATGATCCAGGCTTCAGCCAGAACAATTGATCAGCTTCACACATGGGGCTGTCACATGGATTCATGTGAGTACCTACTTGTCAGCTAACATGCACACACCCCCATTTTGTGAGTAGTAAATATTCCGGAATCTCAGGGATCCAGAATATTAGCGTATCAACTAGTGGGTGCATGGACATTTATCCACCTAACACAAATACTTTCTTTTCTTTTTCTTTTTTTTTTTTGTTTTGGCAGGCAGAGTGGACAGTGAGAGAGAGAGACAGAGAGAAAGGTCTTCCTTTGCCGTTGGTTCACCCTCCAATGGCGCACCGCGCTGATCCGATGGCAGGAGCTGGGTGCTTCTCCTGGTCTCCCATGGGGTGCAGGGCCCAAGCACTTGGGTCATCCTCCACTGCACTCCCGGGCCACAGCAGAGAGCTGGCCTGGAAGAGGGGCAACCGGGACAGAATCCGGTACCCCGACCGGGACTAGAACCCGGTGTGCTGGCGCTGCAAGGCGGAGGATTAGCCTAGTGAGCCATGGCGCTGGCCTAATACCTTCAACCTCTCCTTCCTTGCTGTCTTCCGCTTCTGATTGGAGCGGCTCTGGACACACACCGCTGTCTCTCGGTGCTGCCAGGTCGTGGACATCCTGTGGAGCGACCCCATGGCTCAGGAGGGCTGCAAGGCCAACACTGTTCGAGGAGGAGGCTGTTACTTCGGGCCTGATGTGACGGAAGCATTGCTTCAGAAATACAACCTGCAGTTGCTGATCCGCTCACACGAGTGCAAACCTGAAGGCTATGAGTTCTGCCACAACCGCAAGGTGGGTGCGCCTTCTGCGGCAGCACAGTACTGCGTGTGCCAGCGTGCTCCAGAGACCTCGTCCCTGGCCTCCACGAGCTGAACTTGGGTTCAGAAGACCAGCTTGTATTTGTGATTCACTTGCTCAAAGCAGAGAGAGCCTGCAACTCAGCCTCCGTTTTATAACCTCTTTAAAACCCACAATTGGGTTGAGGTCACAGCTCACCACTACCCTGAGGATAAGGGGCAGATGTGGACCCATTTTATGGATGGAAATATGAGGCTAGTGTCTTCCTAGCCATATGTCTATTCTTTAAGTCAGAGGGCTAATTTGTCTCAAACAAGTTATTACCCACAGGGTGATTACCCACAGGGTAATCGGATTTCTGTTCCCCAGGCAGGGACCAGGCGCATTTGTCTTAGGAATACCATTAAATGACGACTCTTTGGGCATCTCCAAATCCTACAATGTTTGCTTTAACCTAGTGCCATTAAGAGGAGAAAACAGTTTTCCATGGGAAAAAAGGTTGAGTTCAACTAAAATAAGAAATGTTTGGTTAAATGCCTACACAAGTTTCCATGTTACAAGACTTCTGAGAACCTTTCACTTCCTATATTCACTGCAAACCTCCAGGAAGGGAGATTTCGCGTCTGGCACTGCGGGCTGTGTTGACAGTGGAGACTTTGACAGAGCATCTCAGGAGGCCTAACACTCAGGAGGAAATTCCATCTTGAGGCACTCTGTTAGTTTTAAGAGCTCACTTACCTGCTGCTTACAATGATTATCCAAGTTCATCAGATTCAGCTTGCCTCTTAGCTGAACCAAAAGAGGTGTTTTCTGTGATCCCTACTATTTTTACTTGGGATAAAAGTGTGGAGAATGTCATATCAGAGTTCAAGTTTATAACTTGAATCACAATTCCTGCCTAATGACGTTGATGAGTCAAAAAAAAAAAAAGAGAGACAACACATTGGCATTTGGTACAGTGGGTAAGAGGCCGCTTAGGGCACTTGCATCCCTTAGCAGGGTACTGGGGTCTTGTTTCCAGCTCTGCTTCCAATCCCGCTTCCTGTTAATGTGCACCCTGGCAGGTGCAGTGGATTGGTACAGTGGCTAAGAGGCCTCAAGTACTTGGGTCCCTTCCCTGCACCCAGGTGGGAGACACAAACAGTTCTGTGCCCCTGGCTTTGGCCTGGCTCACGTGCAGCTGAGGCAGGCATTTGGGGAGTAAACCAGTGGATTGAAGATCTCTATCTGTCTCTGTCTTTCTGCCCTTCAAATAAATAAATGAAAATAATTAATCTTTTAAAAATGTAAATTCCTGACCTTGAATATAAAGAGAGAGAGAGAAGATCCAGAGATGAGTGCAGGAGGAGCAGCAGCTGGTGGGCTGTGTGGGATTGATGCTGAGGGCTCTTCTAGGAGTGTGAGTGCTGTCTCGCTTCTGTTCTGCTGCAGGTGTTAACCATCTTTTCTGCCTCCAACTACTATGAAGTCGGCAGCAACAGAGGGGCCTACGTCAAACTGGGGCCAGCCCTGACCCCACATATCGTGCAGTACCAAGCTAACAAGGCAACCCACATGCTAACCATGAGGCAAAGGCAAGACTTTTCTTTTAAAAAAGATTTTAATGTATACAAATTTCAAGTATTTCATATATACAGACTCAGGAACATGGTGATACTTCTACCCTGCTCTCTCTCCCACCCACACTCTCACCCTTCTTTCTCCTCCCTCTCACATTCCCACTCTTAATTTTACAAAGATCTATTTTCAGTTTACTCAATACTCATAAGATTAATGCTACATTAAGTAAGGAGTTCAACAAATAGTATGAAGGAAAAAAAAAAAAAAACACTGTTCTTCAACAATTGAGACAATTTCACTCCTGCACATTACCTTTTTGGGTACTCTCATTAGTTACCACACATTGGGAAAACATATGGTATTTGTCTTTTTGGGTCTGGCTTATTTCACTAAATATAATGGTTTCCAGTTGCATCCATTTTGTTGCGACAGGATTTCATTTTATTTTATTTTATTTTTTTACTGATGAGTAGTATTTCATGTAGTATATGTATACACCATAATTTCTTTATCCAGTCATCAGTTGATGGACATCTGGGTTGATTCCTTATCTTAGCTATTGTGCATTGAGCTGCAATAAACATGGGGGTACAGACAACTCTTTCATATGCGGATTTCATTTCTCTTGAGTAAATTCCTGGGAGTGGGATGGCTGTTATATGGTAGGTCTAAGTTCAGATTTCTGAGGTATCTCCATACTGTCTACCATAGTGGCTTTACCAGTTTACATTCCCACCAACAATGGATTAAGGGACCTTCCCCCCAGATCCTTGCCAGCATTTGTTATTTTTTGGTTTCTGTATGAGAGCCATTCTCACAGGTGAGATAAAACCTCATTGTGGTTTTGATTTACATTTCCCTGATGGCCAGCATCCTGAGCATATTTTCTTTTGTCTGTTGACCCTTTGAATTTCCTCTTTTGAAAAATACCTGTTCAAGTCCTGTTCCCATTTCTTAACTGGATTGTTTGTTTTGTTGTTGTTGAGTTTCTTGAGCTCTTTGTAGATTCTGGATGTTAATCCTTTATCAGTTTCATAGTTTGCAAATATTTCCTCCCATTCTGTCTGTTGCCTGTTTGCTTTGCAGTGTTCTTTTGCAGTACAAAAGCTTCTTAGCTTGATGCATTCCCAATTGTCAATTTTGGCTTTGATTGTCTATGCTTCTGGGGTCTTTTCCAAGAAGTCTTTTTCTAAGTCAATGTCTTGCACTTTCCCCAATGTCCTCTGGTAATTTAATGGTATCAAGTCATAGATTTAGTTTTTGGTCCATTTTGAGTGGTAGGGTCTTGTTTCCTACTTCTGTATACATGGATCCAGTTTTCCCAGCATTGTTTTTTGAAGAGACTGTCCTTGATCCAGGAATTGATTTTAGCTCCTTTGTCAAATATAAGTTGGTTGTAGATATGTAGAATGATTTCTGGAATTTCTATTCTATTCCCATCATGAATGAGAGCTCCAAGTTTGTTTCCTGCAGAAATGATTCTGAATGGGTGCATCTTGGATGAAGCCTGTATACTGGGCTGTTGCATCTTTCTAGGGTTACTCTTCTGTTTTGTCTTTAAAATGTTTATGTTACCTTGATGAGTCACAGCCAAAGCTTCTGTCACTTGCTGGGAATTTGGCAGAGGGACTTTAGCACACACTTTTTTTTTTTTTTTTAATTTGACAGATAGAATTATAGATAGAGAGAGAGAGAGACAGAGAGAAAGGTCTTCCTTCCGTTGGTTCACTCCCCAAATGGCCGCCATGGCTGGTGCTGTGCCGATCCGAAGCCAGGAGCTTCTTCCGGGTCTCTCACGCAGGCGCAGGGGCCCAAACACTTGGCCCATCTTCTATTGCTATCCCAGGCCATAGCAGAGAGCTGGACTGGAAGAGGAGCAGCCGGGACTAGAACCCAGCGCCCATATGGGATGCCGGCGCCACAGGTGGAGGATTAACCAAGTGAGCCCACACACTTGTTAACACTGGCCCCTTCCTTCTGGGAAGGAGGCAGGTCGTATGACTTGAATGCTGTCAGTTGAAAAGGTTCTGAGTTCTCACATTAGCAGGCAACTTTGCACAAGTGTAATAAACATTTAAATATACTGGCTCACATTGGATTATGCAATAAATATTATTAATTTCAATTTTATAGATGAGATCTCTAAGGAACAATGCTAAAGCAACTGGCATGTGGTCACACAGCTGATAGGTAGTGACTGTGTGGGCTCTGATATGAGACTTGACCTGGGCATTCTTATTTTACGGCCTGCACGGTGAATGACTGTGTGATTCCCTCCCCACCGAGGAGGCCTCAGAGTACGAAAGATGCTGGCAGGGGCATTAGTGCCGCTGAACGGGCTTCTCAGTTATTCAGCCAAGAAATCAACACAGGCAAAGTTAGCATAGATCAAGTGATGGAGGACACATGTGTAGGATTAACCTGATGTGAGCATTGTAAAAGCATACTATTTAAATCTCGCTTGAGTTACTACGTTCAGACCAGCTTCAAGCTGAAAGCAGTAGCGTGTACGAATTCAGCCTCAGCAAGTGAGTCACCCTGCCGTGCAGCAGAATCACCTGTGGAGCTTCAGGACAATCCCTGGAGCCTCACCAAGCTCTGCCAACTTAGAATCCGCAGGAGCGGGACCTAGCACCTGCGACACCACGCATCCGTGGGGTTTAGGGGTTGTCTCTACAGTGGGGGTCCCTGGAGGGGATCCTACACATGGTGTGTTCTAATAAGCTAACCGAAGATCACCCAGCTCTTTGAAATATTCACTGATTACATTCATAAGTACAGCAGCACCTGATTTACACAGAAGTTCCTTACATAACGACTCGAACCATCTGGAGCCCACTGGAAATATGTGGCAAAGTCTCTGAGCAGCCACAGCCAGTGTTTCTGGTCCACGAACTCAAGGTCATGTGCTTTTCCAGAGGCGCTTTCCTTCAGGATCCATTTGCTTTATTTGGAATGCACTTCCCACAGTCACAGCACAGCCAGCTGCGTTCCTGGCCCCGCCCCTTGTTAGCTAATTACAGATCTGTGTCTGTGGTGGGCATCGTGGTTGCGACTGCCTCAGTGGGTGTTTGGGGATTGCTGGAGTAATCGTGTGCAGCTCTGCGTTTGCTGCGTGCTTCATAGGGACAGAAGGGCTCGTCAGTCAGGACAGCTCTGGAGGACGGGGCCGAGCTGCCAGTGACCACCGCTTACCAGGAAACCGTCCAGATGCTTCGCCTAACTAGCACCTGCTGGCTCTTAAGCTTCTGAACATCTGTAGTTCTTTCACCCTCTGATAAAACCGTAAACTCTCTCCAGAAAAAGCACGTATGTGCACATACTTATGGGACTTGGGATAAGTTTTAGGTGGTTCACTTAAAAAAAAAAAAAAAAAAAAAAAAAGAGCCTGGGGAGTTAAAGACTGTTAGATACCTTAACTATCTTAAAATTCAATAAAGATTTTTATCAAAATGATTAAAAGTTTTCTTAAAAGAAAACTTTTATCACTTGAAAATGTTGGTTATCTGGTTATTATTTATAAAATGGCTGGTTCTTCGGGTAAAGTATATTTACCTCTTATCTCTGTCTATATTCTTGTTCATCCAGCTATCGATTATTGGGCTGCCTGCTTTGGGCCAAGGGCTGCTCCCAGAATTTCTCATTCCAGTACGGATGAGATAACTGTGTGTGTTATTTTGTTATTTACAAAGCTTGCCTTCAGTTTAACATCAGGATAAAGTTCAAGGTCAGCATAACAATTAAGGTAGCACATGCCATTTGTTGAGTGCTTTCTGTGTGCCAGGCTTTGGTCCAAGGGCTGCACTTGAACTTGCTCATTTAGTCTTCATAATACTCCTGTTGGGGAGGCACCATTTTTGTCCCTGTTTCACAGATGAAGAAACTGAGGCGTAGAACTAGTAGATTCTTCCCACAAAGGTTCTTTCTCCAGAAGTGCTCGAACCACCATCCTATACCAGGAAGAACAGAAATATCCCCTGAACGGGGCCTCTTCGTGCCAATAGGGAGAAGACGGTGCAGCAGGGAGAACAGAGCTGCAGCTCTTCCCACAGAACATGAGCTCTGGGGAGGCTGAGATGGTAAAGAGAGAGGAGAAATGCATTTAAAACCCATGACGGTTTCTTCTATCCTAACTTCAAAATGCTGCTTTTCACGTCCTGTCCAGGATCAGCAGAGTGGAGCAGTCGGCTTTGAAAGCTCTGCGGGAGAAGTTATTTGCTCACTCCTCAGATCTTCTGAGTGAATTTAAGAAACGTGATACAGAGAAGACTGGTAAGACTCACCAAATAGAAATTCATAGGGGGAGGGCACTAGTCAGAGGATTTCTGTCTCACGTGGTTTGCAAGCACATTTTTGTTGCATAAATGAATGACCAAAAGTCACCTAGATTACTTCATCCATTAAAACAAATCATTCATTCTTTAGAGAGGCAGAGGTAGAACTCTCCCGTTCACTGGTTCAGACTCCTAATACCGGCAATGGTCAGAAGTGCTAAAGCCACCACAAACTCAATCCAGGTCTCCCACATGGGTGGCAGGCGTTCAGCCACCTGAGCCGCACCACTGCCTCCCAGAGCCTGCATTAGCAGCAAGCTGGAATCAGGAGCCAGAACTGGACATTGAGCCCAAACACTCGAATGTGGGATGGGGTGTCCCAACTGGAGTTTTACCCTCCAGGCCAAACACTTACCCCTGTTTCCTCCGTGTTACTCAACTTAATGTCCCATTTATTTTTTCTAAATTTAAAAAAATGTTAAGCTTTTAACAGCATATGAATTTTGGCCACATATAGATGGAGGAGGTAAAAAGAAATAAAGTCAAAGGAAGAATGATAAGGAGAATGTGTGTGTAAGGAGAACGCAAGACCAGTGACTTGCCTTCGTGTTGTCATGTGTTTGTTACATGTTGATTATCCACGGGAAAATGATACCTTTGCTCAACTCAATGCAATGTCTGATGGGAGTGATTAAGTACAGCCCTATTTTTAGAAAAGAGGAGTGGTAGCACAGTGGTCAAAATGCTACCTGGGACCCTTGTGTCCGCCTATCAGAGTGCCTGGGTTGAAGTCCCAGCTCCCCTGCCTGTTCCAGCTTCCTGCTAGCGCACACCCTGGTAGGCAGCAGCAGTGACTCGAGAGGTTGGGTCCCTGCCACCCACGTGGAGAGCGGCATTGTTGAGTCTCCAGCCCCTGGTTTTAACCTGACCCCACCTAGGGCACTGTGGGCATTTGGGGTGTGAATGAGAAGATAGGAAATCTCTCCCTCCCACTGCTCTCTCTCCCACTGTCTCTCTGTATTTTGAATAAATAAAATAAACAGATAAGGACGACATTTAAAATTCAGATTATCCCTTTAAAATAGCAGTGAAATTTCTTTCTTTTTTTTAAGATTTTATTTATTTATTTGAGAGGTAGAGTTACAGACAGTGAGAGGGAGAGAGAGAGAAAGGTCTTCCATCTGCTGGTTCACTCCCCAAATGACAGCACCAGCTGGAGCTGGGCCTATCCAAAGCCAGGAGCCAGGAGCTTTCTCCGGGTCTCCCACACAGGTGCAGGGGCCCAAGGACTTGGGCCATCTTCCACTGCTTTCCCAGGTCATAGCAGAGAGCTGGATCAGAAGAGGAGCAGCCAGGACTAGAACTGGAGCCCATCTGGGATACCGGCACTGCAGGTGTAAGATTAACCTACTGCGCCACAGCACCGGCCCCAACAATAACATTTCTAAATTCATAGCAGTATCTTTTCCTACACACATATTGTAGCCTCCCAAGAGTCTCTGCTAACTGTGTATTCTAAGAGATCTCAGAGGTTTGATATTTCCCAACAACTAGTGCTGTATACATGTAATGTTTTCTGATATTATTTGCAAGACTCTTGTGTGGCTTCGAGCAGTGTCGGCGACCTTAGTAAATAAAACTTGGGGAAGCCTTATGAAGAATGAATTACAGACAGACGGATACCATACCTTTTGTGCAGTTTTTGCCACACTTACGCTTCGCAGTCAGGTGGAAACTCAGCTTTTACGGGACAGCCCGTGTCTCATCTGGCAAGCCGAGCTTGCAACCCGCTCTGCTACGACCAGCAGATGTAGTGTTTTTATTCCCGCCAATAGGAAGGAGAAAGGGGGCAGTGCACACAGCACTGGGCACGACCCGAGGCTCCCGGGTGACGCCAGCTCTCCGCTGCAGGTCTCATCAGCCTGGGGGACTGGGCCGCGGCGCTGGAGTCCGTGCTGCGCCTGGGGCTGCCGTGGCGGATGCTGAGGCCACAGCTGGTGAGCAGCGCCGTGGGAAACGCGCTGGAGTACAAGTCCTGGCTGGACAACCTGGCTAAGGAACAGCTGAGCCGCGAGGTAATGTGCATTCGCGGCGGGGACAGCCCTTGGCTGAGTCGCCCTGTGTCAGACTCTGTGTGATATGACTTCTGCATGGTGCCTCAATGAGTCCTCAAAACACCCGAGAGAGAGACCTTATCCCACTATCCCCCCGAGGAGGAAGCTGCCCACAGAGGTTACGTACCTGCGCGTGGCGTTCCAGGACTCCCGAGTTCTGACTCGAACTCAGGTCTCTCTGAGTTGAAGGCCCGTTTTGTTTTGTTGACACCATGGTGCCTCCCCTGCTTAAAGCGTTTATTCAATCAGTACTCACGGAATAGGTCATGGATGAGCGACCTTCAGCTGATACTTAACAAAAGCAGTTTGAAGGTCTTCTGTATCCGGTCATCCCTCTGTGAGACACCCCACTCCCCATGGACCCCAAAACTCTGGGCTCAAATCCCTTCCATGGAGAAGTGTAGTAGTTTGTATATAGCTACACATATCCTTCAAGGCATCTCAAGATGACTTAGAATACCTACTATAATATAAATACAAAGTTACTCTACCGGATTGTTTCTGGAACAATGGCAAGAGAAAATGCCTGTACATAGTCCCAGCACGATCCTTTTTCCCCGAAGATGCCTGGGTTGGTTGAATCCATGTACACAGAGGCCCTAGAGTTAGAAAGCTGCCCTGATTTCAGATGTGTGCCGTGGTCACTTTAGTAGGTTTTAGAGCATTTTCGTCCTTAGCCTGCTGCTTCTCAGACCACTAGAGACCTTGTTAGCCTGAAGAGGGAGGAGAGGGGAGAGATGGTTGTACATCTATGGGTTTTCTTTCAGAGCGTGTGTGACTGTCGGGGTTGACTGTGTGTTAATTACCCAAGGTAAGAGTTAATAAGAAACAGGAAAAATGAATATTTTCTTGCAGAACATACAGTCCAGTTTGCTGGAAACGCTCTACCGAAACCGATCCAACCTGGAGACCATTTTTAGGATCATAGACAGCGACCGTTCAGGTAAAGGCACTTGGTGTTCTGTCGCTTCTGACACACAGCGGCTGCCTCACCCTCCACCCTTTAGTCTCCCTCCGGGTCCTGATTCGTCTCCACGCACGCGTTCTTGGAGGCAAGTAAGTAGTGGCAGTGCTTACAGGTGGCAGACAGGAGAAAAGTACTTGAGCCGACCTTGCAGCCCCCATGGGAGGGCCAGGGCGGAGATGAAGGAAGGCAAGCTGATGAGAGCCGCTGCTGCTTTTTATTTTTAAAGATTTACTTATTTATTTGAAAGTCAGAATTTCAGATAGAGAGGGGAGGCAGAGAGAGAGAGAGAGAGAGAGAGAGAAAGAGAGAGATCTTCCATCTGTGGGTTCATCTCCAAATGGCTGCAGTGGCCAGGGAGGCCAGGCCAAAGTCAGGAGCCAGAAGCTTCTTCCAGGTCTCCCATGTGAGTGGCAGGGCCCAAGGACTTGGGCCATCTTCTGCAGCTTGGGAGCTAGACCAGAGTAGAGCAGCTGGGACTCCAACCGGAGCCCATGTGGGTGCTGGCATTGCAGGCAGCAGTTAGCCTCCTATACCACACCACCCCATTCCATTGACATTTAAGGTAATTAGTGATGGGTAAGGTCTTACTACTCCCATTTAGGTATTTGTTTTATATTTTTATTATAGTTCCTTTATTTCTCCATCTCTTATAATCTTCATTTGTAGATTAGTGATTTTCTCTAATGATATACTTGGATTCCATGCTTATTTTTGTAAGTCTTTTTTAGGTTCTTTCTATGTGGTTACCACTAGACTTATAAAAATCTTTTGGTTACAACAAGCTATCTTGAAATGATAACAATGTAATGTTGGCTATAAAGATGGGGAAAGAGACAAGCAAAAAAACAAAGAGAGAAGACATCCTAATCAAGAGCTCTACATCTGTGCTGCATTCCTACCATATTTTGAATTTTTGATGTTACATTTGACTTTTTTTAAAAAAAGATTTATTTATTAGTTGAGAGGTAGAGTTACAGAAAGAGAGGGAAACACAGAAAGATCTTCCTTCTGTTGGTTCACTCCCCAAATGGCTGCAATGGCTGGAGCTGGGCCAATCTGAAGCCGAGAGCCTGGAGCTTCTTCTGGGTCTCTCACGCGGGTGCAGGGGCCCAAGGACTTGGGCCATCTTCTACTGCTTTCCCAGGCCACAGCAGAAAGATGGATAGGAAGTGGAGCCCATATGGGATGCCGGCACCGCAGGCAGCAGCTTTACCCACTATGCCACAGCGCCGGCCCCACTTGCTTCTTTCCTCTTGCAGCTTTGAGAATCTTCTATCTTTAACCTTGCAAAGCTTGACTGTCTTGGGGTAGACCTGGTTGCACTGATCTTAACTGGTGACATTTGACCTTCCTGGATAGTTGAATATTTTTCAAGTGTGCGAAGTTTTCTGCCATTATCCCTTTGAATATACTTTCTACGCCTTTGGCATTCTCAAGTCCTTGAACCCCAGTAACTCAAATGTTTGTTCTTTCCATGCACCCCGTATTTCCCATAAGCTTTTTCCATTCCTCCTGATTCTTTTTTTCTTTTTTTTCTCCTCCGACTGTGGAGCCTGTCTCTGAGTTCACCAATTCTTCTGTTTGACCTATTCTGCTGTTGATGCCTCCTGTTGCACTTGTAACTTCACTTGGTGTACTTTTCAGTTGAAGGATTCCGGCTTGCTTTTGTTTAATTAATTCTACCTCTGTCAGATCTCTCTGCTTGAATACTGAGTCATTTCTCTGTGTTCTCTTGGATTTGGCTGCGTTTCCATAACGCAGCTATTTTGAAATCTTCATCTGAACATTTGGAAATTTCACTTCCTGGGTGGGTTGGCTTCTGGCACTTAGTCCGCTCTTTGGGTGAGGCCATGGAAGTTCCTGATGCTTGTTGGTGTGCGACATTGTCTGTGCGTGGAAGGATGACTGCCAGCAATCCAGCTTCCTTTGTGTCTGGTGGAGAAATTCTAAGTGCTCCGTCTATGTTCTCTGAGCCTATGGATACTTCTGCTATTTCAACACTAGATGGCAGCGTTGGTCGCAGTTTGCCCTGGGTCTGCTGTTGATGTTTTTACTGGTTCAGTCCTATGATCTTCAGTTGAAGTGTTCAGTATGAACAGGGGAAGTGGCTCAAAAGGGGTTGTCTGTCCCTGTGTTAGGCTCAGACTTGTCCTGTGTCTACAAAAGCCACACACATCTGGGGCCCTCAGCCCAGCAGGACCAGTGCAGCCTGGGGTGGTGGGACCAAGGCTCCCCTGCTATGATTTGTGTGCAGCTGGGGTGGGCTCACTGCCCAGTGCTGCACCCATCAGCCAGTGGTGATGTTGGCTGGGTATAAGGCTGTTCAGCTGGGAGCTCAGAGCTCCGCTGGGCACTGAAGCAGGAACCAAGGCTCTGTCTGCAGGCACAGACCAGGGAACAGGCACCCTTAGGTTCTGCTCCGTGATGGGGTTCGCCAGCCTGGCACTGAGTCCCAAGAGTCCTGTGCTGCTCTGCTTCCTTGCTGCCCAAGGTTGTAGGTACGGTGATGGAGACAGCCCCTTAGTTACTCAGGCAGGCCCTAGGTCACACGTGGGTCTCAGGGTCACCAGGCAGCACTGGGGCTGCACACCAGGCTGCACGGGGCAGGTGCTGCCACACAACAAAACAAATCTGTCTCAGCAGGGTGCAGGTCTCTGCCTGAGTCCGGGGCAAGTCCAGAGACTGTCCCCGGGCACTTGCCTGGGGATGGAAACCATTAGGATCTGGCCAGTGCTGGGTTTTACGAGCCCAGCTCTGAGTCCCAAAAACGTAGCCCTGTGGCCCCTTGCTGTCTGCCCAAAGTTCATGGAGCGTGGTACGGACAGCACCTTGGCCATCCAACACTGGCCACAGGCTGTCACAGCTGGCTCTGACAGTCACAGGTTCCCTACAAGTGTCACCACTCCATACGCCCTGGAGCTGGGGGAGGGGTGACATGGACAACTCTCTCCACGCTCTGTTTGCTGTGACTGTTCTTATAACAACATCAGGTGCCGTGGTCTCTCGCTTGGCTTCCACAGCTCTTGTGAAGGTAACTTGAACTTGCGTGTGTGTCTGTGGGGAGGTGTCCTTGGAGCCTCTTACTCAGCCGCCCTCTTGGTTCTGACTTCACATGATGGTTTAGTTTCATTTCCTCAGTGACTGATAGTGGTGCGCACTTTTACGTGGGTTTAGTGGCCATTTGTCTGTCTTCTTTGGAGAAATGTGTTAAAAACCTTTAACTCCTTTTTTTAGAATTCAGTTTAAAAACATTTTTAGTTAGTTTTTACCAGATGCAATATAGTTTTTAGATGCAATTCTTTTTTTTAAAGATTTACTATTTATTTGAAAGGCAGAGTTACATAGAGGCAGAGAGAGAGAGAGAGAGAGAGAGAGAGAGAGAGAGAGAAAGAGGTCTTCCATCCACTGGTTCACTCCCCAGATGGCTGCAACAGCCAGAGCTGCACTGATCAGAAGCCAGGAGCCAGGAGCCTCCTCCAGGTCTCCTACACGGGTGCAGGGGCCCAAGGACTTGGGCCATCTTCTACTGCTTCCCCAGGCCATAGCAGAGAGCTGGATCGGAAGTGGAGCAGCGGGGGCTTGAGCCAACACCCAGGTGGAATGCGGCGATGCAGATGGCAACTTTACAACTATGCCACAGCCCCAGCCCATATAGATACAATTCTACGACTGTTGGGGCTGGTGTCGTGGCATAGCGGGTAAAGCTGTTGTCTGCAACATGGGTATCCCATATGGGCACCGTTTCTTGTCTCAGCTGAAAAGCAGCAAAAGAAGGCCCAACATTTTTTAAAAATATATATATTTATTTATTTTATTTGGAACTCAGAGTTACAGAGACAGAGGGAGGGAGGTGGGGAGGAAAGGAGAGAGAAAGAGAGAATATCTTCTATCCATTGGTTCACTCCCCAGATGACTGCAACAGCCAGGGCTGGGCCAGGTTGAAGCAAGAAGCCAGGAGCTTCTTCCAGTCTCCCATTCGGATGCAGGGGCACAAGCGCCTGGGCCATCCTCCTCTGCTTTTCTCAGGCGCATTAACAGGGAGCTGGATCAGAAGTGTAGCAGCTGGGACATGAACTGGCACCTATATGGGATGCCAGCACTGCAGGCAGAGACTTAACCCACTATGCCACAGCACCAGCTCTATACATTTTTTTAAAAGTACATAT